AAGTTGGTCCTGTTGTATGGATGTGAGACAGGAAACGCATCACAGCCTTGCATAAAGAGGATCCAGGTTTTCTTGAACAGGTGCCTTAGAAAGCTACTGAGGATCAGATGGACAGACAGGGTCTCCAATGTGGAAGTGTTAAGGAAAACAAGACAGATCCCAGTCAGAGATGAGGTAGGAAGAAGGCGGTGGCGATGGATAGGACAAACTCTCAGGAAGTCAGGCCGCTGCATAATAAAGAAAGTTTTGGATTGGAATCCACAGGGTATCAGAGATCAAAGGGAAGACCGCGTGGAACCTGGAGAAGAATCACAGAAATCGATGTACAGAAAAGTGGGAAGACATAGAATAACATCAAGAGACTAGCCCAATATAGAGAAAGGTGGAGGGTGTTTGTCCGTGGCCTATACTCTGGTGCAGGGTGAGAAAGGCAATGCTGATGATATATGTATATATATGTGTGTGTGTGTGTGTGTGTGTGTGTATTGGTGTGTGTGTGTGTGTGTCACTGTGTGGTGGAACCAGAAGCTCGTTCAAGTTTCTAGCATAATCTTAAGCCTGTTTATTTTGTTTTACTTTCAATGAAAAAAACTACTCATCTGTCTTGAATAGAAGCTGAGATATTTGCAAATTGAAGGAGTTGAGGGTCACATGGGTTCAGAGATTAAATTTGCGAGAAAATGGCCACTAAAGTTTGGTTATTTTCATAACTTTAGAGTCGGCGAAACTTAGAGAGTTTACAATAATTTTCGGTACCTTCAGTCAACGTTTTTCAGTAAAAATCCACACTTTCTTAAATGGACATAAATTATAGTGTTGAGTAAAAAAAAAGAAGCTTGGTGTTCCTTATTGACGAGCGCCTGATTTCATCACGCTAGTTCGGAAAGAAAATTAAATATGATTGTTGTATAATATTATTATAATATAATTGTGTGGAAAATCTTATGTGTTGACTGCTGATGGAAAATGTAAAGATGTGATGAAAAAGAATAAGTAAGAGTATAAGTTTTACGCCCCTATCTTTGTTAGGTCATTTAATAGTCACAATCAACTATTTTTGTTTTTAGTTGTTTTTTTCCTTCAGAAAACATATTATACTTGTAGACAGACATGCGGAGAAAAACGCAGACAAACAGACATACAGATATGCAGACAGACATATCGACAAACAGATATACATACAGACATAGAGCCCCACCTCTGCGTCGCCTTTCTTGTGGCCCAGTAGTGCCAAAAGAGCCGAGAAGACTTGCATCACAACCTTGGGTGGGGAAGCCAGAGATTTAAGCTCACTCAGATCTCCTGGTGGTGGAATGGTTGGCATGTTGTCGGTTGTTTGTGCCTCTCTTCTCGGCTGACCTATTGTTAAACAAACGTGTGGAACAGGTGTGAAATGTATGCATAATGGATATTATTTGTATGTTATGAATATAATATATATAGATAGATAGATAGATAGATAGATAGATAGATAGATAGATAGATAGATAGATATATTAAAAGAAGAAGAATTAAAATTAGAAGAAGAAGAAGAAGAATATAAATATATATATATAATTTATGTACATGTCTACACATGTATATAAAGAAGAAGAAGAAGAAGAAGAAGAAGAAGAAGAAGAAGAAGAAGAAGAAGAAGAAGAAGAAGAAAAAGAAGAAGAAGAAGAAGAAGAAGGAGAAGGAGAAGAAGAAGAAGAAGAAGAAGAAGAAGAAGAAGTAGAAGAAGAAGAAGAAGAAGAAGAAGAAGAAGAAGAAGAAGAAGAAGAAGAAGAAGAAGAAGAAGAAGAAGAAGAAGAAGAAAAAGAAGAAGAAGAAGAAGAAGAAGAAGAAGAAGAAGAAGAAGAAGAAGAAGAAGAAGAAGAAGAAGAAGAAGAAGAACAACAACAACAACAACAACAACGGAACAAAAGAAAGAAGAACAACACGAAGAACGACATAATGGGCAAATCGACCAGACCCCGATACATTCAGATACGCACCAATAATCAATAAGATCGACGAATGTTTCAGTTCACCAGCTGGGCTTTGCAGATATGACTTGCCACATACGTTAGAGAAGTTCCTTGCTAATGCACTCAACACCAAATGTCTGGAAGCTTATATAGCATGGACATTAGCTTCCAGAAACTTGAAAAACTGGATTGGGAAATATATTGACCTTGTAGTAAAAGCGTAAGACAAACAGTTCTGTTAGCTTATATTATTATCTTCAAGGTGCGGTTCAGTTTCTATTTTTAGCAACTGACGTAAATAGACCTACTATTTTTAAGTTCAACTTTGAACTCTGGTCCGAGTCCTTGGTTCAGAGCTGCTGTACTGGTTACTGGTGGTTGAATTTGAGAGGTGACGTTAGAGAGGGTTCCTCTGTGCATTTGTGTACGATTATTCCCCTCAATAAAAAATAAAGCTCTCTGTCAGCTCAGTTGATACCATGCTAAACGACGGAGCAGACGGCCTTGGTTCGTATCCCAGACTGGGCGCTCTTGAACTCTCAACTCATTTGCATCTGTCTAATCGGAGACGGACATTACATTGGGAACCCCACCTCTTTAATAGTATCATAATAGTATTGATAGAGGCGTTAAACTCAAACACGTTTACTCAGACAAGATGAAATCCCAGTTAAAGGAACAGAACTAGGGGAAACTACTTTGCAATAACTAATTTTTGCTTTTTAACATAACTTCGAAGTTATTGCCCCTGCATTGAAAGCCAAATAACTAACTACAAAAATTGCTGATATTGTTGTTGTTGGGTTGTTCTTATTGTTGATGTTTTTGGTGTTGTTGTTGTTATCATTGTCTCTGATTTTGTTATCAGCCTTTTTGCTATTGTTATTATCATTGTTGTTATTGTTTTTATTATTGTTTCTGTTGCTGATGGTAGTGTCATTGTAATTTTATCGCTGTCACCGCTTTTGTTGTTAATTTTATTGTTTTTTAAAACCGTCTTTATTGTTATGGTTGTAGTTGTTTTCGTTTCCATTGTTGGACTTTGGGTTTTTTTTCCGCTGTTGTTGTAGATGCTGTTGTTGCTGAAGAAGACTTCTCTGTGTAGTCCATTTATCATAAACGGTAGATGATTATTTCATCTGTGAACACGGATAAACAGGGACAATGAATGATACAGGTACGACATAACATGAAATAATATGGGGTACACCACATAACGTACAGAGAACGTGAACCAATATAATTTAACACATAACAGTTGTTGTTGTTGTTTTTGTTGTTATTGTTGTTGTTGTTGATGTTTCTGTACTTGTTGCTGTTATTGTTGTTGCTGCTGCTGTAGCTGTGCCATACGTCGTGGGATTCCGCCCTTCGCAAATATGAAACGACAGTAAGACAGAGAGACAGTTTGCTACCCTAAAATTACAAAGTTCTTTCTGCTCAGCACCTCTTTTTGAGAGATTTGACGTGCATAATTTTGAGTTTCACAACATTTTTTTGGTAAGTGTTTTACGGCACTCGCAACTGCATAAGGTCATATGAGCGCGCGGGACACACCTAATATTTTCAGTTGGTAGGAAATTTTGAATTTTGCCCGGGTGGCGGCTGAAGCCTACTCTTATGGATTTTAGACCACCAAGGTATCTTTAACGTGCGCAACTTGCACACGGGCCCTCCGAGATTTTTTTGCCCTTGTCTGAGAAGTGTAGGTGTAGATCTTTCCTACCAGAAGATCAGGGGTGTGGTAGAAAGACAGCAGTAAGGAGGAGCCAAGGAGTAGCAGTAGAAAGGCTGCAGAGAGAGTCAGGAGCCCAGAGGAGGGGGCAAAGGAGGAGAGGGGGGTGGGGATAAAAAGTGGAAATGAAAGCAAACAACAGAACATTGCTAGAGAGCAGGAAAGGAGGTGATAGGAGAAAATTTTAGAGAAGAAAATTTTTCGTTCGCTACCCGGATTCGAATTTTGTCAGTACAAATACTTTGTACAGAGGATACACGTAAGTTGAAAATTATTATGTAGTTTTGGTGGTTAAATAACAAGGCATGCAACAAAATAGATTGAGTGTTGTTAATATGTAGAGTGCATCGACCGAAAAATTGAAGTACGACTGTAATCAGGATGACAAAAAGTTCGGCTCAGGACACAACTAGGCTTTCATTTAGTTTAGTCCGTGCAAATGTATTTGTTAAGATGGACAAGAAGGTTGTAAAAACAGTTATGATTAAGTTGCCAAAACTAGGAATACACCATAATGAATAAGTTACTTTCGAAAGTCTAAGAATTTAACGACTAACATAATATGAAGGTACTAAAGTATTATTATATTTTGGGATCATTAAACAAATAAGGCGAAATGCAGATTTTCTGGACACAAATAGGGTTGGATAAAGTTAACCCAGTTCAAAGGAGTTTATAAAGATGCGAACGTAGATTATACAAGCACTTTTTTTTATTTAGTAGAGGGTTTTACGGCGCTCGCAACTGCATAAGGTAATATGAGCGCCAAGCGGTGGGTGTCAACAGAGAAGTCCTTACAGGGAATCAAACTTACTTTGCTCACCTTTGTAGCTTCAACAGCACAAGGTCTGCTTCGACTATCAAGGCACCACGGAAATAGCAGGTCACAAGAGAGTGACAAACGTACAAAAGATGTAGAGGAAAATGACAATAGTAAGGATTAGATATGAAAAAGCAGCAGTTCCCTGCTGCAGATCAGGCACCGTTATGAGCGTGACATAATGAATCAGCCCATTTACAATTCTACTGTGCTTAAATGACAAATGTTCCCCCTTTGGGAATGGCCTAAAGACACTACAGTCAGTGGCACTTCCCCCCGGGGGGGGGGGGGGTAATACAATACAAGCACTTTGATTGTTACTGAACCAACAAAATAAAATAAGAAAAAAAAAGAAAAATGTATAATCCAAAGTGAGAGTGTAACAACCGACAAGGTATTTAAGGTTTTAAGATTTTTTTCAAAAGGCTGATTCCAGCTACACAGAATACCATTTGAGCTTGAAAAGGGTTGCTTTTTTTTCAGTACAAATACTATACTTGTAAAGATGCACTCGTAAGTTATGAAAACATATATCTGAATCTGTTTTGATTGTTAAAAAATACACAAAAATACACCAAAATTAATAGATTATAACGAAAACTGAGAGTGTAACGACCTACATCTGAAAGTACTAAGGTATTTAGAATAATAAAAGATAAGCCTTGTTCCATGTTATCAGAAAACAACCAAATTTGGATAGAGTTTAGGCATTATAAGAGTACATAAAGGCTTGTAAAGATGCAAACATTGATTGTAAAAACAGAGGTATGTTTTCATTGTTTCCACAAGGTAAAAAGAATATTAAATAGATCATAACTATATCACAAAGTGTAACGGATGGAATATCTGGGTAATTTGGCATTGACACTTTAGAAAATAATGATAATTCCAGCCAATCAGGACACATCCTACCTTGGATGGAGTTAACTTTGTACAAATAATAATGTGCTTGCAAAAATGCACATATTATATGCTGTGAAAAAAGAGACGTGTTTTGTTCTTTTGTTCAATTATATGCAAACACAAAAAAGAAATGACTATAACAAAAACTAAGAGTTTAACGACAAACATAGCCAGCTAAAAGTGTATTTCCGATGATTTAAAAAGAAAAGGCTCATTCAAGTTTCTCATAGCAAAACTTGTCCTGAATAGAGTTTAGTCAATATGTAAACCCTTGTAAATATATTCCGAGTAATTTACCGATCGGTGCAATCTCAAGATTGCGCTGCGCGTTTTAACGATCGCATGAAAGTATCATTCTTGTTAGTTTCATATCTTAATTTTAATTCTAATTTTCATTTTCATTTTCATATTTTTACACTTTTGAAAATATATGTGAATGTTATTCAAAGTGAGTAAAAGAATAGAGAAGGAAGTGTATAATAAAAAATGTTTTTTTCAAAAATATAAAATAAATTAAAAGTACTTTAGTTTGAAACCTGGCCTCAAGGGCGCTCGCCCATTGAGCACAGTCTTGCAGTGCCGCCCAAAATTTTAATACGCACAACGCCCACAAAGAGATAATAAAAGAACGAGGAATAACCACAGGCCAATCAATTTTCTATTCAAGTTCCTCGCCAGAGCCTAATCCGTCATTAGTGCATCTCTAGCACTCTACAACATCTACTATACCATAGCAAGACCTCGTGCTTCACTCAAGTATTAAATAACACGTTCAGTGTTTGTAATCTAATTCAAAAAATGCTCTATGAGCTGACACAAACAAAGATGAACTTTAGAGTTTTGTAGTCCATAAATATATATAAAGCGGCACAATCTCAATGTGCACACGCGAACAAAGCCCATGGAGATAGTCTAAAAATAACATGATCTCAGACAAGTTCACGATACATTACACAATTCAATACCCGAATTATGATAGCTTCGGAGCAATCCACGGGAGTGCTCACAGTGACGTGCGATTGGTCCATTGTCTTGCCATTTATATCTCTAGCCCCACCTCTGTAACCCTGAACTTGAGTGGAGTCAGCATGACGTATTTAGGTCGCTGTGTTAAAAAGTCTACTTGGAATGGTGTAGTGGTGAAAGTTTTATTACTTGAATGTGTAATTCCAATGCAGGATTAATGAAGTTATTTTTTTGCGTGCAAACGAACTCAATTCTCTAAACCAAAGTGTCAAGGATAGTGAAAGAATTATAAAGTCCTGACCAACCGAAAGGCACGTACAGGTATTTAGTTCAGTTTTACTGATCTTGTCCACGAGAAGCAAAATATTAAAGACAACAGTCATCAATAAATGAGCGCACATCAAAAATGCCGTTTAGTATCGCACTTTCGGATTAATAGCTATTCTAGCAGCGCAGCTAGACGTTGGTCTTCGCATTGCAACATCTCACTATAACGAACGGGTGAGAAAGAACAAGCACGTATTGCGCAAGGTTGTCGAGTGCATTTTGTTCTGTGGAACTTACGAACTCGCCCTTCGCGGTCATGAAAAAGGCAATTTGTCGGGGAAAAGAGGTATCTTTCTTGATTTACTACCCAGAGACGGTAACACTGACCGGATACTGTTTGATCATCTGCAGAACGCTACTGTTGCTAAATATTTTTCCAAAATAATACAAAACAAACTGCTGGACCAATTTTAAAAATATAATATACCACTAAGAACTGGATAAAGACATACGCTTTGCCAACTTTTTCTCTGTTCCGGCTGACGAAGCAACTAATGCTTGTCATTTGTCACACTTTGTGATGATTCTGAGGTATATTAAGGACGGAAAACAGGTAGAGCGGTTTCTAAAGTCTTTATGAAGCCAAAGATAGAGCTTCACAAGGGCTCGTTTCAACCCTAAACGAAGCTTTAGAACCATTCAGCGTCGATGAGAAGCTGATCTCCCAAACCTACAATGGGGCAGCTGTAATTAGCGGGAGAGTTTGGTGTGCAGACTCAGATGCGCCAATGTTTTTCCCTTATGCAGTCTTTGTTCATTGCTATGTGCACCAGCTGAATCTTCTTTTAGGGCACCCTTGTTCAGGGCATATATCAGACTGCAGGATATTTTTTTGCTAATACTGCAGGCTTTTCGAAATATTTTGCCCACTCTACAAAACGCATCGGCATTCTCAGACGTGTTTGTCACCGGAATATTTCACGGCTGTCTGAAACAGGGTGGAATTTCCAATCTCGACTTATTAGCACAGTCTTCACTTGAAAAGGAGAGACACAGCTCTGTCTTGAAGAAATTCAGTCGGAGCAATGGGACGATAATGCCACCCACGAAGCGTGTGGTCTCTTGAATGTATTAAAGAGCGATACATTTCTCTGCTTTTTGCACTTTTTAAAACACATTTTTCACGTATGTTGACATTGTGTATGGTATCCTCCAACAAGACTGGCCTTTATCATACTTGTGGGCTCTTCAGTTGTATACGTTAATTTTAATATCAATTTTAATTTTCATATTTCTACACTTTTGAACAAATATAAATGTTCCTAGAGTAAAAGAATTTAGTTGGAAGTGATTTTTGAAAAAAAATATTTCACAAATATGAATTAAATTAAATATAGTTTGTGAACTTTGAGTTTGATATCTGACGTCGTATCTTTGTTGCAATCTCTTTAGTTTCATAAGTTAATATAAATTCTAAATGTAATTTTACGTTTTGGCTATTACAAGTAGGCAACCGCAAAAATGAATTGATCATAATTGAGTTCGAGAGGGCATCGGTCGACTTATCTATCTAGGGTATTTAGTATGGCTGATTCCTGCCTCTCAGGACACAACTAGACTTGGACAGAGTTAAGTCAGTGTAAAAGATCTAGTAGAGATGCTTACGTAGGTTATAAAAATAATTATAATGCTTGTAAAAATAGACAAACTGAAAAAAAATGAATGTATTATAATTAAAACTGAGAGTGTAACGACCGATATGTCAAGGTATTTAAGTATTTAGGGTGACAAAAAAATGAAGTTGATTCCAGTTTTTCAGGTTAAAATAAGCTTGGATTGAGTTTGATCAGTCTAATTAATGTGAACGTATAATTACATATTCGAGTTCTGAAAAAGAAGCATCTTTCTGAAAACTATGTAAACATAAAAAAGTGAAAGGAAAATACCAAAAGTGAGAGTGTTACGACGGATATAACAATTTATAAAAATAATGAGGATGATAAAAATTTAGTCAGATGCACATATGTAGATTGTAAAAGCAAATTTGTGTTGGTTCTTACACCTTGGCAAACGGAAAAATGAATAGATCACTGCTAAACCTGAGAATGTAACAACTTACGTATCTAGGTAGTTAGTTCTTTTGGATGAAAAAACATTAGGTCTGATTCCGGCATATCAGTTCACATCCAGGTTGCTAAAAGTTCAGAATGTATAAAAGTGATTGTAAAATAGCACACCAAGATAGTAGAATCTGGTAATGTCTTGGAAGTGACAATTATTAGGCATTCACAAACATAAATAGATTATAATAAAAACTGAGAGTTTCATGACGACACAACAAGTTATTAAAGTGGTTTGAGTAATAAAAATTAAGACAGATAACAGCTTTCAGGTCGGAACTATTCTTAAATTGATTGTAGTTAGTACAAAGGTGTTCGTAAATTTGCACTCCTATGGACACAGTACAATGTTGATTGTTGCAACGAGGGATATATAAAAAATAAATAATCTAGAACAATAGAGAAAGTTAAACGTCGACCAACATACAAAATAATGAAAACCAATAGCTAGGACAGAGTTCAAGAATAATGTTAAAAATATAATAATATGCAGGTCACAATAGACAAAATCATTAAATGTATTAAATAATGATAAGCATAATAATAATAATTCTAGTAGATTGGCTGATGTGCATGCACACGTGCAGGTCATAAAAATACCATTATTTCCTCTCGTGTATTTGTTCAGTTGCTGATGGGGGATAATTTTAACCTCTGATTCTGTTTATTAATTTGTCTTCTGAAGTTGGGATCGGCCGTAGAAGTGGAACTATTTACCAGAAGAAAACACACACACACAAAAACAAAACAAATAAAACACCAATAGTTAGGACAGAGTTCAAGAACAATGTCCAACAATGCACGGATCACGACAGACAAAAAGGGTAAAATGTTATATTCTTATGATAAAAAAAACCCAACAAAAAACTACAATAAATTAGTTCATGTGTATGTCCCCGAACAAGTCATCAATATAACATTCAGAAGTGGAAACAAAGACAGACGGAACGTTGGGGGCAAATTCAATTAAAACAAGGGCACCCAAAATAAACTTGAAAATGCATTCCCTCAGTAATCGTTAAAAAAAAACGAAGACTACTCTTTCACGCGGCATACCAATTTAAAGCTAAATGAATTCTGCATCATTTGGGACATTATTATTTCATCTACGCTTAGAGTCGTACGAGATAGGGTCACTCAAATTTAACTTTAAAAAATAGACTTGGCAAAACTGTGTGAAGTCAAAGAAACTTAAATTTTGAGTGATCAAATCAACGGCGAATTTAATCATAAAGAAACAAATTAGTATGTCAGATGATACACATTTCATTTTACTTTAAAGTGGCATGCTGCAGAAACGGGCAGTACAAGCCTTTAACACGATGATTCCGTAAATACATTTTCAAGTCTTTTTGGGACGTCACTGTATAATAAATCGTATGAACTTGCCGGAAAACTAATTTTGCTATCTTTCTTTTCATGAAATTTCACTGTTTTTGTTATTTGGTCCTGGACTGTATCTTGAGAAAAATCCATTTATAACGTGTTATTTAACCTGGACTAAGCAAGAAGGATACAACCTTCCAGCAGACAGTCGGAGATTCAGAAAACATACACTTCATTTGTTTTAAGTTCCCAACACAGGAATCAAACTCCCGTTTTCTGCCTGAACTGGGGAAGCACCTATCCGCTACACCACAGATGCTGGTATTGAAAGCAGTGTGACTCCAATATCGTAGGCCTACCTTAGTATAATTATGTAGTCTGCACCACCAGTTTTGTCCTTATTCTGTGGAATCATTGACATCATCATCTTTGTGCTCACGTGACTTTGAGTCCGTCACAACCTGTCCCTGTTGGTTGTTTACCCAGAGACAATGACGTCAGAGGTCTCTAGCGTCTCCCACGACTATATAATCACAGAGGACACCCTACTCAAAACACCGACACTCCTGGGTCCTTCAGAAACAATGGTGATTAGCACAGTGCCTTCATTACTCTCTTCTTGTCTTTTTTACTCTCGATGTAGCACCTCTAATCTTCAGCACGTATAGCCTAATTATGTTGCGATTGCCATAAAACGTTCAATAATACATAGTCTCTTCCACGGTCTGTTATTGGGTTGGTATGTTAAATATATGCAAGTGTCGAAATAGACACAATTTAGATGATTTAGGAGGTTGGCTTTCACAACCGTGTCAGGGTAAACCCATGCTGAGGGAGGTACAACGTCCCAGCGGACAGTGGACAGACCAATATACAAGGTGCTCTCGTGGCCTAGAGGTTTAGGTGTGGGCCTCTCATTCAAAAGTCCTGGGTTCGAATCCGGGTAGCGACCGAATAATTTTCTTGTCTAAAAATTTTCTTCTTTCACCTCCTTTCCTGCTCTCTGGGAAAGTTCTGTCTTCTTTGGTCTCCTTTTACTGCCCCCCCCCCCCCCCCCACTTCCTCTGCCCGTCCTCTGGGCTCCTCACTATTCCTGCAGCCTTTCTACTGCTACTTCTTGGCTCCTTCTTACTGCTGTCTTTCGGCCACACCCCTGATCTTCTGGTAGGAAAGCCTTCTCGGAAAAGGGAGAAAAATCTCGGAGGGCCGGTGTGCAAGTTGCCCACGTTAAGGATCCCTTGGTGGTCTAAAATCGATAAGAGTAGGCTTCGGCCGCAAGCAGGGCAAAATTCAAAATTTCCTACCAACTGAAAACGTTTAATGTGTCCCGCGTGCTCATATAACCTTATGCAGTTGAAAGCACCGAAAAACACTCACCCTCCCCAAAAAAAAAAGAAATTAACAAAAATGACCAATATATTCGTTGATGTCTGTTTCAGACCTGTCACTTGTTTATGCTGATAATGATAATGAACATAAACGGTCAGCAGTCTATTGTTTAGGCTCCTAGACACGCTCCTATTTACCGCTGTTCAATTTTGGCACGGGCTTTAAATTGGGATGTCTAGTCCCTTAAACATGAACAATATTGCATTGTTGCAAGGGGCGGAACTTCTATACAATTTCCCCATGTTTTTTTTCCATTCAGTTCCTCAATCCTTCCAGTAGTAATTTGACCTTCAAACACAGTTGATCAAAGTTTCCTATCTGGTTCAACCAATTGTAAGGTATTCATGGAGCAGTTAAATGTTAACTTCATCGACTTTTTCTCTCTGATTTCAGAACTCCGTGATTTTCCTTACTGCACTTTGCGTGGCTGTAGCCACATCAGCTTTGGTCAAACGCCAGGCACCTCAGAACCCTACTCTAGGAAACGGTCCGTTCCCCCAATTCCCTCAGCTCCCACCTAACGGCACGTTCCCCCAATTTCCTCAACCCCCACCCAACGGCACTGTCCCCCAATTTCCTCAACCCCCACCCAACGGCACGTTCCCCCAATTTCCTCAACTCCCACCCAACGGCACTTTCCCACAATTCCCTGCACCTCCACCCAATGGTACCCTCCCCCCGTTTTCATTCCCACCACCTCCTCGAGGCCCATTTCCCCAAGGTCCATTCGGCATGCCCGCACCTCAACAAGGTCCATTCGGCCCATCCCAACAAGGTCCATTTGGCATGCCCGCACCTCAACAAGGTCCATTCGGCCCATCCCAACAAGGTCCATTCGGCATGCCCTCACTCCCTCAAGGATTCCAACAAAACGGTAAGCTTTGTGTCCGGATTTTGTCTCCATTCACTTTCAAATATGCACAAGAAGTTTTCCCTCAAAAGTAGAGAAATAAGCAATAAAATTTATTTTTTTCGAGCATCAACAAACATCCACCCACACATCAGATTTGTTGTGTTTGTTTGTTCTTTTCATTTGTTGTGTCGTGTCCCTTTTTCGGGTGCATTGTTATTCATGTTATTTGTATTAGACAATCATTGACTAGGAGAGTATGAGTGAGTAGGTACAAGGATATGTCAATCCTAAGATGAAACAAAAAGAGAATAATAATATATTACGAATAACAAAGTTAGATCTATGTGTTGGTATTAATTTTGATTATTTAATTAATTATATGTATATTATATTTATTGTTCTAGCCTCT